AAACTGGTCAGGGGGGATCAGAAGGCATTGGGGGAGTCACTGTTCCCCCGAGCACAGCCAGGAGTGACCAGGAATAACGGTCATAAGCTGGCAGAGGGTAGGTTTAGGTTAGATATCAGGAGGTGCTACTTCACGGTCAGGGCAGCTAGGGTCTGGAACCAACTTCCAAGAGAAGTGGTGCAGGCTTCTACCCTGGGGGTCTTTAAGAGGAGGTTAGATGAACACCTTGCTGGCGTCATTTGACCCCAGTACTCTTTCCTGCCATGGCAGGGGGTCGGACTAGATGATCTTCTCAGGTCCCTTCTGACCCTAGTAACTATGAAACTATGAAACTATGAAAAGAATGCCAGACTGTAGGACCACAGACTGCCCACATCAGAGTTGAGCTACAAAGGAAGCAAGTGGCATTGTGCCTCTTTTTTCTTCTTTGTGATATAATGAGTAGTCTTATCTACACTTGAACATTTTATGAATAGAAAATTAATTTAATGATAGCATCACAAGTGTGGTAAAGTTGAGAGACTTGAAAGGAAAGGGATTCTCTGGGATATATTTGCAGATTAAGGACAAATGTATGCTCCCAGGCACAACACATATTGCCAAATCTCATTCACCAAAGTAGGAATCATGTGCATATCACTGAAGGAACAATTAAGTTTCAAAAGTCAATATAATTCAGTTAGAATATATACCATTTGCTTTCCCTCTATCTGAGTAACTAGAGACGGAATAAAATAATCTCCTATGATAATTTGTTTTTAGGTAATGAAGGTAGGTTTGTCCATACCCAGGGAGATATGTTTTACATGTCAAATATCCAAAATCTTTTCCGTCACAGTCTTCTACTCCTTCATGTCGGTAGCCATCTCCACAGTAAGCACGACGACATCCTAAGGACAATGCAGAGAAGAGCACCTTCAAAACTGAGAGGACCAACTAAAGGATGCAGAAAAGATGAGCAGGACTTTATAATTAAGGTCAGAACATGAAGCAGGGAAGCTGATAGACATCACAGAAAGACTTTCTTATTGGAAGGACTTGGCTCTGCTGTAAAGACCACTTCTTCTTTAACTCAAGTTTGAGTAATTGCCCTCAAAATTTGAACACATACAGAATTACCTCATGGTGAGAGAGTGGAGTTATTTCTTATTCCAGCTAAAAGGAATGAAGATAATGATGCTCCCACCAAAACAAGTAAGAAAACTCCCATTTCCTGAAATGGAACCTGGCCTAGTGCCATGACTAGAGAGACCGCGGTATTGTACTTGTGGGTGCAGGCTGGGTTTTTAATGGGTGCCACTGCATATATCTTCATAATTTTTGGCTAAATCATAACTGGATTTTGAATTTAAGGTCTGTGATTTTTCTAAACATAAATTTAAAAGTTGGGAATGCATTCCTTCAGTTGAGAGCCAGAAGTCAAAGGGAGTTGAGTCACTGTTAAACAAACTATACTGATTAAAAGGGCATGCAGAAGTGGGGAGCTGATAACAGTTATTAACCATTTATTTCCTAGAAGCCAAGGTGAGTTCCTCCACAATGACTCATTAACTGTGCCAGCAAGCTGTTTTGTTAGAAATGATTGCTTCTATATATAATTATTCTATTAACAAGTAAATCCATTCAAAAGTTAACTATTTTGTTTTGATTCAGTCAAGAGAGAAAAACTGGCAGAAGCACAGAGGTTGACAAGAACAAGATGATGGCTACTTTTTTGTTTCCAGGTTTCAGGTCACATCGGTGATAACCTTACACCATTGGTGACAACTTACAGATCATGGAACTCTATTCATCTGAAGCTATGTTTAATTTAATATGATGGTGTACTGGAGACCCAGCATATTTACCAAAAAAAAAAAAGCAGCTTGCAGTTTTCGGTTAACAAATACCTATTCAGCACTGTGAAAATGACTTCTTTTGAAATAAACAAGCAGAAAGCACGAAAGAGTTTCTGTACAATTGGGTAAGGAGTGAAGTGGCACATACAAAACTTTTGAAGGTAATGAGCAATGCCTGTATGCTATCCTTTGGTCTGTGCTTTTAGTGAGCAGCAAAGTGAAAACCAAGTTTACTTGGTGTGTAAAACTAGAAGTGAATATAGTAGGTTAAAAATTGATCCCACTGAAGACAACAGCAAATCTCTGATTGTTCTGAAGGAACTAGAATCTGGCTGATTATTAATCCTTACTATTTTGAACAGATACATATATAGTTTCTTATTTTATAAAGCAGAGCTGCTGTCCCAATACTTATTTGGGATTTTGGAAAGGATAAATGGATTTTGCTTACCTAAAATCATTCTCTATTTAGTCTCAGCTGGATAGAATGGTTAACTTTTACTTTCAGTCCCAGATGTTTGTGCAGTACGCTAGCAAGGGTCTAATCTTGGGCACAACATCGCACCACTTTCTACATAAGTTCTGTATACGTAAAACAATTGCAGGATTGAACCCTTGAAAATATTAGCTATGATGCTCTGATATACAGGTGGCTGAATTTTAGCAGTGAATGAAATAGTTCCTGTTTGTCAAACCTGAGAAGTATTTGGAAGCCTTTGAAACAAAAGCCACAACATTTACAAGGTATTATTTTCTCCAGTGCATATAACGTTTGGCCATCTTATTTTTTTGATAAAAATCAATTCATATTGTAGCTATTGGGCCTTCATTTTTAACATCTATATTCAATATGCATACTTATAGTTGCCTAAAGCTCCCACATAAGATGTAATGGAATGGTCATTCTATTGATCCTAGGATAAAATCTAAGAGCATTTATACACGTGCTCCGGGAGTGTGGGAGGGGAGGGCGGCAGGCTTTAATTAGAGCTGTTCTAATTCAAGTGCCCAAAGCGTGTCATGTATCAGTGCTCCTGCACTGAAAAATGGCAGTGGGGGCACTTTAGCTAAAGCTCATTAAATGAGCTTTAGTTAAAGCACCCCTGCCACCATTTTTTCAGCACAGGAACACTGATGCATGAGATGCTGGAGTCTGCTGGAGTGTGGTAATTATCATACTCCGGCAGACTTGATTAATCAAGTCTGTATTTACAACACATGACAGTAGCCTTGCTGCTCATGTGTAGGCACCCTAAGGGACTTTTATGTAATATAAAGAACAGCAGTTGAATGGGTGTAACTCACTTATACAGTCATCAGTCACAATAGTATTGCCATCATCACATTCTTCCCCATCCTGGATGATCCCATCTCCGCAGGTACTTTCATCCTCTACAGGATAATCCACAGGATAGAAAGGAGTAAGCTATCCAAACAAACACATAACAGTTACCCAACCTGAAATATAATCATCTTTCTCAGCATTAGAAAATGAAGTGAATACTACAGTTGAGCTGAAACCACAAATTGGTTTGGCCCACTACTTGAGCCAAGTGGGAATCTGAAGTGTGGATCCAAATTTATTCATAATTTAGAGGATGCTTGGATCTGAGGATTGAGGTTAGTTCTTTCCCCTAATGCAAAGTTAGGGAAGTTCTCAGAAACTTGCATTGCTGGTGAATTTCTGTGTACTGCTTTACATTATATCCAGATGGCATTAGCTTAAGGTATGAAATAAATAGTATCCCATAAAGTCAGACAAAACCTCTAATAGTCACCAGGAATCTGGCTTCAACTGGATTTCAGAGGTTTGCACAAATCGTTTTCTCCACATGACTTCATACTCCTGAATTAGCTTAACAAGGAACATTTCAGTAAACTAAGTCACAAAAAGGGAGCTTATAAGAAGTGGAAACTTGGACAAATAATTAGGGAAGAATATCAAAGCATTGCTCAGGCATGCAGGGATGAAGTCAGGAAGGCCAAAGTGCAATTGGAGTTGCAGCTAGCAAGGGATGTGAAGAGTAACAGAAAGGGTTTCTAGAAGTATGTCAGTAGCAAGAGGAGGATCAGGGAACCTATGTGTGCTTTACTGAGTGGGGGTGGCAACCTTGTCACAGAGGATGCAGAAAAGGCTGAAGTGCTCAAGGCATTCTTTGCTTCAGTCTTCACAGGTAAGGTCAACTCCCAGACTACTGCACTGGGCAGCACAGTTTGGAGGGGAAGTGAGCAGCCCCAGTGCTGAAAGAACAGGCTAGGGACTACCTAGAAAAGCTGGATCTGTACAAGTTCATGGGGCTGGGCAGGATGCACCTGAGGTGCTGAGGGAGTTGGCTGATATGATTGCAGTCACTGGCCATCATCTTTGAAAACTCATGGTGACCAGGAGAGGTCCCAGATGATTGGAAAAGGGCAAACATAGTGCCCATATTTAAGAAAGGGAAGAAGGAGGACCCAGGGAACTACAAACTAGTTAGCCTCACCTCAGTCCCTGGAAAAATCATGGAGCAGGTCCTCAAGGACTCTGTTTCTAAGCACTTGGGGGAGATGATTAGCAACAGACAGCATGGATTCACCAGGGGCAAGTCATGCCTGACCAACCTGATTGCCTTCTATGATAAAGTGACTGGCTCTGGATACGGGGAGACTGGCAGATGTGGTGTACTTTGATTTTAGTAAGGCTTTTGATAGTCTCCCACAGCATTCTCACAGGCAAGCTATGGAAATATGGGCTGGATCAATGGACTGTAACGTGGATAGAAAACTGGCTTGAGCACTGGGCCCAGAGAGTAGTAATCAATGGCTCGAAGTCTAGCTGGCAACCAGTATCAAGTGGAGTGCCCCAGCGGTCGGTCCTGAGACGAGTTTTGTTCAATGTCTTCATCAATGACCTGGAAGACAGCATAGTGTGCACCTGTAGCAAGTTAGCAGATGAAACCAAGTTGGGGGTGGGGGGGAAGATATGCTGTAAGGTGGGGCTAGGATTCAGAGTGACTTCGACAAATTGGAGGATTGGGTCAAAAGGTATCTCATGACATTCAACAAGGACAAGTGCAAAGTCCTGCACTAGAGATGGAACAATCCCATGCACCACTACAGGCTGGGGGCTTACTGACTGGGCAGCAGCTCTGCAGAAAAGGACCTGGGAGTTACAGTGGACAACAAGGTGAATATGAGCCAGCAGTGTGTCCTTGTTGCCAAGAAGGCTAACAGCATCCTGGGCTGCATTGATAGGTGTGTTGTCAGTAGGTCAGGGGAAATGATTATTCCCCTCTATTCAGCACTGATGAGGCCACATCTGGAGTACTGTGTTCAGTTTTGGGCCCACCACTACAGAAAGGATGTGGACAAATTGGAGACAGTCCAGCGGAAGGCAACAAAAATCGTGAGGGGACTAGGGAATATGACTTACGAGGAAAGACTGAGGGAACTGGACTTATTTAGTTTAGAGAAGAGAAGACTGAGAGGGGATTTAATAGCAGCCTTCATCTACCTGAAGTGGGGTTCAAGAGAGGATGGAGCTAGACTGTTCTCAGTGGTGGCAGATGACAGAACAAAGAGCAATGGTCTCAAGATGCAGCAGGAGAAGTTTAGGTTAGATATTAGGAGGAATTTTCTCACTAGGAGGGTAGTAAAACCCTGAAACAGGTTACCCAGAATGGTTGTGGAAGCTCCATCCTTGGTGATTTTCAAAACCCAGCTAGACAAAGCTTTGGCTGGGATGCTCTACTTGTGGATGGTCCTGCTTTGAGCAGGGGGTTGGACTAGATGACTTCCTGAGGTCCCTTTCAACCCTAACTTTTCATGAGTCTATGATTCTTTTAATGTTCCCAGCAGATTGAGGGCATTGATTCTTCCCCTCTATTCTGCACTGGAGTACAGTGTCCAGTTTTGGGCCCTCCACTACAGAAAGGTTGTGAACAAGTTGGAAGGTGTCCAGTGGAGGGCAATGAAAATGGTTTAGGGACCTGGGACACATTACTTCTGAGAGGCTGAAGGAACTGGGTTTATTTAGCCTGCTGAAGAGAATATTGGGGATTTGATAGCAGCCTTTAAGTACCTGAAGGGTGGTTACAAAGAGGCTGGAGCTTGACTGTCCTCAGCAATGGCAAATGGCAGAACAAGGAGCAATTGTCTCAAGTTACAGCAAGGGAAGTTTAGGTTGGATATTAGGAAAAACTCCCTCACTAGGAGGGTGATGAAGCACTGGAACTTACTACCTATAGAGGCTGTGGAATCTCCCTTCTTGGAGGTTTTTAAACCCTGGCTCAACAAAGTCCTGGCTGGGATGATCTAGTTGAGGATGGTCTTGCTTTGAGCAGGGGGTTGGACTAGATGACCTCCTGAAGTCCCTTCCAACCCTAATTGTCTATGATTTGATGACTTACAGTTGTGCATATGAGCCATACACTCAGGCAACAGCTTTGAGTTCTGCTCTCTTCTGGGCTAACTCTGAAATATGTCTGCCAATCTGTTTCACAAAACTCAGCCCTGCCATTCTTCTTTTTGAGCCTGGTTCACAGGAAGGTATAAAAAACCTGAAACTTTTGAAAAGTTAATGCCTCCAGTAATTCCTGTGAATAAGAGTCCTGGAATTTTACTCAGACCTAACAAAACTTGACTTTTCAGGAATAATTTCTACAAATGCTCAAACAACCTGCATGAAAGCTTTTCTGTTGTTTTTTATTTGCTCAGTAATACCTAAAGTACTGATCTTGTTTAAAGAGGGAAAGTAAATTATAAATCAGATGTCTTCTGAAATACATTGTTACCTGGATTGGAAGCCATCCAACAGTATCCTTGAAATAGAGCGATCTCTGATCTCTTCGAAAAGCTAAGGCATTTTTAGTGTTCAGCCGGTCTAGCTCTTCTTGATTGTTCACCACAAAAATCTGGGACATAGAAAAGGAGATAATTGGGAATTCTTTCAAACGGTGTATTGGGTTGTCACAAAGTCTAGTTTTCCAGGGGTAACATATGTCTTTACATATGTTAATAATAATCCAGAAAAAGATTTTGACAGGTTGAATTCAAAACAATACTACTCCTAATACTATACTTGTGATCACAAAATAAATAATAAAAGAACCATTACTCAACCTTAAATATTTTATTCATACTTCCCTGGTATTGAAATCTATATTTCTGTATATAGGAGTCTTTCGGTCCAAAGCAAATTTTTAAATTGAATAGAAAAAAAAGCTCAAAACAGGAAGAAATAGAATGAGCTGCTCTTGTCCTAAATTCTTTTATGTTTAAGCCACTGAAAACAGCTGTAAGAGACATTAAGCAGTAATCCCTTTCTTTAGCACTTTAATCAAATTAATTTTAGTAAGATTCAAAACATTTTTATATTAAGAAAAAGCAAATGGAATACAGCTGAAGAAAATGGATTTAGTAACATAATGGCTAAGCCTGATTTCTACTAGGATAAACAGAATTAGCTCTTTTTAAAAATCTGGACTGATTTATTTTTATATAACATCATGCTGTCCCTGCAGCCCTAACAAAATCACATACTGAGTAATAATGCCTTCAATCAAATGGAACAGGGAAAGACATTTTGTATCTCAGTCTTCCACCAAGAGTTGATTCTGCAGTCCCGGACCATTCCTGGGTAAAAATGCTGCAGCTTCACTTGAAAACAGTTTAAGTTTTATCTTCTTAACAACTAGATACCTAGGCCATCAACAATAGATGTAAAACCTGGAATGAACTGCAATTACTGAGCGCTAGTTTGAGCATTGATTAATTAAATGAAACTGAGCTTGGGTGTTATTCTACACAAAGCCAACAGAGAGATTAACAACTGGGGAAAGCACAGGGGTACTCGGAGCATGCAGTGGAAGGCCTATTTAGTTCAAAGTGGTACTAGGTGTTCTCTAAATTATTCAGAGCTGGTTGGCCTCCCATTCAGCTAACTTGCAATTATAACTCACATCAAGCAAGGCACTAAGCACTCACTCCTTTTCTGTTCTGTAGGCAACTATCTCAGCCTTTAAGTGATATGGAAAAGCTTGCAGTGCTAATCAAAGTTGACTTTGTGAAAGAGAAATGCAATTGCAGGCTTAAACTTGAACTCTTAACACTAAAGATAAATGGAGCAAGCAAGTGGGATTGCCAAGAAGGGAGCAACAACCCTGTTTTATTAGGAGATAATGTCATGAATTTAAATGGCTTCCCAAGCTGTCTGTCTTCTTTAAGTTTGTTGATTCTGACAGGGCCAAGTAAGGGCATGCCCATTTGATCCATGCCCACTTGAATAAGGCAGCGACTTTTGCATTGGAGATATCTATGCACCAATTAGCATATGTTAATCTCAAGTGTCAAACAATACATAGACTGTTGCAAGTGGCTGCATAGCCTGGATGAGAGAATTACATCCTTTTGCTCCTTGTGCATCAGCACAGTTACAGTACTTAAGTGAGCTGTTGAGGTGAGACTGGCTCTTTGGTCTGAGTTCAAAAGAAAATCACTTATAATTAAAAATAGTTAGGTGAACAGAAAAGCAAAATAAAACTAACCAGGTTTGCAGCATCTATAGTTCTTCATCAAATAAAAGACTGGGTTCAGTAATCCACTATTAAAGCACAATATTATGAGAGTATAACTTGTGCTCTTTTCAACATTCTCCTCTCCTCCACACTATGGTTTTCTCCTGTGGAACAGATTTGTGTGTAATAGGGCTAATACATTTCAGGGTTAACAGAGATGCCCACTTTCCTTATTTATTCACTGTTATTCAACACTTTGCCATATAACTTTCCTTCAGTGGCATAACTAGGGCAGGCAAATGGGGCAACTGTCCTGGGTGCTGACTTGGGGATAGGGATGTGAAAAAAGCAGTTGTTGCCAGCAGCTGTACAATCTCGACTGTGATCATGCAGCAACCAGATGTTAACAATGCCATCCACTCACACCAAGCCAAGGTACAGATATTCACTTTGTACCACAAGAATCACTGTTCTCCTGGTAGAAACCAAAAGTATATATATGGTCAGGCTTTTTCTCCCAGGGTAAATATGACCACTCCCAGAGAAAAATAACCCTGTGAGGCTCTCCAGCCATGGGGCTAGAGGAGCATCTGTACAGTTTGGCTCCTGGGCTACTTTACTACTGGAATAATTTTTTTCCACTAAAAATTAATGTCTGTACACAGCATAAAGCTTGGAGCTTGTTGTAAGGCATAAGCCCCTCCCATAGGCTGACTTTCAAGGTTTTGTATATAAGGAAGAAAGTTTTGAGGCATACTTATCATATTCAGACAAGCTCCCCTTTAGATCCAGAAGTTTATCCACCACAGTGGGTGCATCAACACCAGACACTGACTGAGCAGTAGTCAAAAATACTTCACAGTAGTACGTCACAGCATGGACAGTGCTAATATGCTACTGCGCAGTACCATTAGGTTACTGCACAGTAGCATCACCTAAAAGACATTAACTGGCACTACTGCACAGTAACTCTGGTTACTGTGCATCTATTCAGTACTTGCTTACTATACAATTATTATATTATTCTATACAAGTACTAAATAAATGCCCAGTAATGGCTGTGCAGTAGTGCTCATGTAGATGTGCTCAGTGTTTCTTAAAAGATGTTTAAATATAATTTACTTTACTTCCTAACAAGATGACTTACCGCAGGGACTTTTGCATAATTGTGTCCAAACATGGATTCCTCATATGGTGGGATGTTCACATTTTGTGGGGGTTTGCAAAGACATCTCCCTGGAGGCCCTGGAAGTCCTCTTTCCCCTTTTGGTCCTATTGCTAATTGTCCTAGGAAGCAAAATATGAGGCTGTCATGTTACATAGTTAATGTACAAAATGCAAACATAGCCTCAGAGGGGGAAAAGCTGAATGTTGAGTCACTCAAAAATACATCTGTGTGTCATCAGCTGCTGCATGTCCTTACCTCCCCGACAGTTCCCTGGGCATTGAGGGAACTCGTTATTTTGCAGTTTAAGGATGCATGCCTTAACAGTACATGCAATGATGTCATTACAGAATGGGCATTTAGGAACTCAAATGGCTGGTTTGGTATTAGCAAAACTGAGATATATTTTTTCTATGGACAGAGATGACCCTTTAAAAAGAAAGCTCAAGATCCCATTTGCCTTTCCAGCAGGTGAAGACATCTCTGCAGTTTACTAATTTCCAGCTGAATCTATGCTGGGAGGTTTCATCTTGGGGGATATCCCAAATAATAGCTATCAACTCAAAGAAGACTGCTTCCAAGGCTCCAAAGATCCATGCCCACTGAAATAGGCAAAAGGAGACAATGGGAAACATGAAAAAAGGAAGCTGAGCAGCTTTCCCCAGATGTTACTGGTTTCCAGCTGGCTTTTGCTTTTGTTAAATTTTTGGCCTTTTTATGCTTCCATCATACATTTAAGAGGGGAAAAACACTGACTGGTAATATGTACTAGCGCCTTTTTGTATTACAGCTCTCATATTGCCACATGGGTTAGCTTGCTTCCTTGCCTAGGGCTTGTATGCATTTGTGTTCCTGATTTAGAGTTTTCAGCAACAAAGAACTCCCCAGACCTTTGCCTTTTATCTCTGCACCACATACAGAGGCATCTGCAGCATGCCCAGAGACAGAGAGAAGGGATTTTTTTCACTCCTTTTTTCCTATATAGATTACCCCACCTCCCATCAGATCTTACTGTAGCAACAAGTATCTGTTTTGTTTTGTTATTTACAGGGTGGTGCAGGGCAAGCCTATACCAGCTGGCTAGGAAAAGCAATCCGGCACTGCAAGCCCAAACACTGAGGAGACAGAGAGGAAGAGGGCTCCAGTTATGATGACTCAATAAATCCTCCCAGGCTCCCATGCAGCTCTTCCTCTTCCTCAAGTCCATGTGCACAATTAACCGGGGTCTTCCATGAACTTTATGATCACATAATCTTATTTTGTTTAAAATTATCAACCATAATGAATGGAGGATGGTACAAAACCCCAATAACAAACAATTATGGAACAGCATGCCCATAAAGGAAGTCTTCTACTCTCCCACAGGATCTACTGGGTAAACAAACCAAACTTCATGGAATTTTCTCTAATGATATCTATTTAACAGGTTTATAGTAGATAGGACAAGTAAAGGGTGAGGTGAGAGATGAGTGGTCCTTCTTACCTGACACTGATGATCCTGGTGGACCAGGCTGACCTGAAGGACCAGGCCTGCCAGGTGGACCCATCATTCCAGTGGGTCCAGTGTCTCCCTTTTCTCCCTATCACAGAAAAAGGAGCCATTAATTTGTTAAACTATGAATGACAGAGCAAGTTAGTCCCACCTGCATTTAAAAAATGGCAATATATCCCTTCTCCACTCCCCCTGCCCAAATAAGCATTCACCAGTAAAAACATATGTATTGTATACATAGGCACCATGCATGGAGACACGAGGACAAGAAAATGGGTTTGGATCTAAATTGGGATTCTGCTTTGAACTAAAACACAAAAATGGTTCCAACTTTCTTAGTAGGTCTGCTCCCTGTAAAGTGAAAGCCACATCTTTGACTTTCACTCAGGCACTGTTGAAAATTTTACCCATAGGCTGCATGGCATCTGCCTATTTGTTCTTACTGCCTTTAGTCAGTATTAGCGATCACTATCATAAAGACACAAGTCACCCCTAGAGGTTGTTGCTCCCTATTCCAAAAATAAAGAGAAATTACAGATAAAAAATAGATAAAAAACAAATTGTTTAGGGGTACTAGATTCTACCAGAAATGTCCTAGAATCTGATATGATGGAACTTATTTATAACTACAATATGTATTTATCTTTCTTTTCATAAAGTACCAGAGGTTTAGATTTTCTTCTCTCTCAAAACAGTTTATCAAATTAATTCAGAATGTTAATGGTGTATCAGATGCAAGTGATTTGACCTTGATGCAAGAAAACACACAATTTAGCATGGTAGATTACATTATAACCACTTGCTTTTAATTCCAAAGGTGGTGAATTCCACAAGGATGGGGTAACTGTAGGGTAACATGCATGCAAAGGAAAATGCTGAACTGCTGTATGTCTAGTTTCAGGGTAATGAAGAGCTGACATAGTTACATATACTAAAATAATTGTGTCTTACATAATATGCTATATTCTGCAAATAGCTTTAAATGTCAATTGCGCTATTTCAACTGAGCCTGGTTATTTGTAGCCAGGAGCCCTGAAGAATTAAATTTAATACTTTACCTTCTTATTTCCTGTAAAGTAAGTTCTGTATCACCAATGCATCCAAGATTCCATGTGAATATCCATAATTTGGGTCAATAATTACTCACATTATAGCACAAGTGTACAAAAGAAGAACACCACAATCAGAAATGTGGGAGCACCCAAGAAACTGTGTGGGAGACTTCCCTTTCCTACACAAATGAAAGCCCAGCAGGGGAAATTCAGTGTTACAGTATGCATCCTTGAGAACTGCTTGATTTCTTTGTGTAATGTGTGGTGTGAGTGATCAGCCGGCATTCTGCAGCATGAGTCAGATGGATCAAACATTCTCATTACAATGTCTTTTGCTTTGGCCCCTTTCTCCTGCACTTGCAAAGGATATTCCCTAAACAATATTTAATCTTCCCAGCAGCAGGCACCAAGCTTTCTAGAAAAGCTTTTTTCCAAGTAATATTATCTACTCATGGCTGACATAAGACATTCCTCCTTGTCAACATCGCAATCCTAAACTGGCTACTTAATGTCAATTTCCAGGCTACAAAGCTTGAGGAACAGGCCTTTTATCTCAATTTGGGAGCTGTGAGGCTGGGACTTGAGTTTCATTGTCTACCTCTACTTTCAGAATGGATTTGCCCTGGAGACTCAGTGGAGAGTCGAAGAAGTCAACGAGATAATCCAGTCTGATCTCAGAATGGAAGTGGAAGTAACACCTTCTTAATTTAGCTGCTATTCTATACCGGGATGTCAGCTGGATCTGGAGACAGGAAATGGCTCCATGGAGGTGAAAACATCTCTGTTTAACAAACAGCCTTTTAAATACAGTATTTTAGATTTCACATTTAACAGTCCTGTTTGTAACAGCCAGAGCAGCAAAGCCTTGAAATAAGAATTTAAAGGCTTTAAAAAAAGAAATCAACAAAAAGTAGTAGCCTATTGATCAAATAAAAATGGAAACTGAATTTACAAACCTAGGTTCATAGGGTTAGAGTTCAAACTGCCATTTAGGATGAGATCCCAAATGGCCTTTAATACTTCCAATTAGGTATTTGCTTAAAATGTAGGTGCCCTGCCTATTTGACAGAGTGAATAGGGAGATTAGTAGAGAGGTTCCTGCAACTACCCTGTTGGGTTGTTGGGTCAAGAGGTTTATCTGCACCCCTAATTGTTGTCTATAGATGTTAGACACAGAGCAGGGAGGCACTTCCATTTCATTGGGATCCAGAGAGGCCCAATGGAAAGTGCCTACCTGAACCAGGACAACAAACTGACAGCAGCACTGACTTCAAGACAGCAGCCTTCCTCTCCCACCTTCAAGTCACTTGAGAATTGCCACTGGAGGAAAAAAACCCACATTGTAGTAGTGGTTACAGTATTTTCCCAGGAAGTGAGAGATTTGGATTAAACTCATCTGGGGCTCAGTGTGGGCATAAGTGGGTCTCAGTGTGGGCAAACTCATCTGGGGCTCAGTGTGGGCATAAGGGTCTGTTCACAAGGATCATATTGCAGTATCAGTCTAAAATGGTAGCGGATGCATACTTTGCGCTTAAAATGTGGCACAGACAGAAAATAGATTGCAGAATGCGATAATCAAATCCATTAAAGTTGAAGGGAGCTATTTTTCCAATGCATACAAGCAATTCTTGCTGAGTTGAGGAGATATGACTCTTAGCACTCATGAGTCAAGCAGACCAGTATTTAATTTTATCTCATGACTCAACTCCTTCAGCCCCACATCAGTTTTTTGTGCACTTCCCTGAACTCCTCCAATCTGTCAATGTATTTCTGGCATGTGGTGCCTGGAGCTGAGCGCGACATTCTACATAGGGTAACCTTGCCAGACCCATATTGTCAGGGATTATCACCTCTCTGTTTCCTGAGGTGGCACTTCTGTGTCCACGACCCAGAGCCCCCCTATTCTTTCAGCATCATTGCTTTCTAGGTTTCTACCCCTTCCTAACTGTTTGCCTGTGGTATCTTTTCCCATGTATGTATTTGTTCTTTTTCCTGCACATATATCTGAGTTTGTGATTCTTTGTTTTCAGCTGCTGGAACTATTTTGGCAAGAGCTGTAACATGGGCATAATTTATTCATATGCTCAGTCTCCACCCTACTATACTGTCACTATAGAAAGCTGACTCATGCAACTCCTTCAAGTATTATGCCAGACTCATCCCCCTGAGCCAAAACACTGCCATTTAGTATTACCCACTGTTTATAGTCCCAGTGAACTTAATCCAAGCAGCAGTGCTTCAAAGGGATGAAGGGAAAGGTGCATCAAGATTAAAAATGGAGTCTTGGCCCTGCTGCCTTCCTAGATGTTTCCTGAAGGAGAAAATGGGATAGAAAATGACCACAGAAAATGAACTGATGATGGATGTCAGGAATGCCCTAAGATGCGCAGGAGTGGGAGGCAGAGGACCAGATGCTAGAGCCTACTATGATCTCCTTCCTGCCTCTACAGCTGATTTACCCTTCCAGTTGCTCATTCTCTTGCCCTGAAGAATCTAACAC